CGTGACTAATGTATAGCTTCTCTTCCCACTGTCGTCTCCAATCACGTGACAGATGGATTGAGAAGCTTTGTGTCTGGTAAACTAATCTCGTGAAGTAGCGTGTTCTTCCACCAAATTCAAGGAAAGAGGATGAATTTTACAGCACATGAGACGTAGATTAACTGTCTCAAAATTTTGTCGTGTCATTCGGATTGCTTAAAATCTCTCCGCCTCTTTACCCATTCAACTGATGCGCAACTGCCTCAATAATTTATTCCCAATTAGGATTGGTCGGTCATCTTGTTATTTCATGGACTTCTCGTTTCACAGTGGCATTCCTCGAAATGGAAGCCGACGCTTTTATCGTTTAGCGCTTCGTCGCAAGGATCGCATTTGAATTGGATGGCACCACCTTCTCCCATTCTAAACCACACCCCTTGTAGAGGCTAAGCAATAACTTCATTTCAAGGCTTCTGCAGCCTTTTAAATTGAATTTATCTTCCTTTGCTTAAAGTCGAAGCTCTTCAATCTCTTTCTTAAGCTTCTCTATATTCCGTGATCCTTTCCCTCTATATCCACACAGAGACGACTGGACCGACGCATATATGGCCTTAACAATGCATGCCTGAGAAAGACCACATGCATTTGACATGCTCTGTTCCCACAAATTAGGGTAGTTCATTCCACCAACTCAGCAGAATTTGCGCAAAATTTTGATCCCATGATATACTACTGAAATATTTATGGCCGATCCCCAACAATATGTTTTCGATCTGGAATCCATTTAAGTAGTAAAATGACTTCTGAACTCGTCCATTTGAGTTTTTGACCTAGTCTATCTACCATTGCGATAAAAGAGCCCGAAGGAAGGCATGGCAATGTGGTGTAGGTGTGTGACAAAAGAAGTAATATTTGGCAATTCATTTATTTACCATCCACCATGATGGCCACAACCACATCCACAGCGACAGCAATTACAACACTTGCAACCACAGCAACTACAAAGGCGGAAAAGGAGAAAAAAGATGAGGATTTTCTTCAAATCATCTAGTGTGAGTATATCTGTCGTCACGGCTACCATGATTGACTTGCCGTGATGCTAGAAATGAAACTCCCTCACCGCTCAGTGAAATGAGGCGGTAAGACGTAAAAACGTAGTTGTGAGTGGCCTTGTTGACCAATGCAAATGCACATGCTTGTCGGTGTGGTTAATGTTGAACTATTGTCAGGTCATTTAAATTCACTGTTTTAATGTCCGATTTGTTTCTATAACTACCCTTAGCTGCGTGAGTCTTCTGGTGTCCGTGGAAATGTTACCCTCTCTGATGGCATAGACGAGTCACTAAATACGATGAGGAAACCAAAAAAAGTAATCTTTCCTATCTTAAAATTGAATTACAGGAATAGTAGATCTACCATAAGTGTAGCGATGCTACTGACAGAACTTAAGTAGCAGAGAGCACCACGGAGGAAACGTGTTGTCACATGATTGATACAAAGAGGGTGGAAGAAGGCGACAATATTAGGCAACACTTTATTTAGCTTCCCATAGAGAACTACACCTTGTCCATTACATAGTCTAAATTAGTATGCAAGCACAGTGGGGCTTCACTTCCATCAACAGAAACCACCATGACAGTGTCCACATTTATCGCGATTCATGAGCTGACGG